AGCATAAGCTTTCGTGGACTACAGCCCACTTCTTATGCATCCGAAGAAGTGGGCTGTAGTCCATGAAAGCTTATGCTCTAATAAATTTGTTAGTCTCTAAGGTGCCACAAGTCCTCCTGTTCTTCTTTTTGCGGATACAGACTAACACGGCTGCTACTCTGAAACTTAAAACCACCACATTAATCAAGGATACCACTAGAGAAGAAGATTGCATCATGGAAAGGACCACCCAAATACCCTGGAAGAACCCACTTCAATACAGGGGGCAAAAAACCACCGATAGCACATACCTCTATCTGTCACCTCACACTGGAATCCATATGGGGTATCATCAAATAGTTGCAACCAATATTTGATGGTGCCCACATCCTGAAAGAAATCTTTGCCACACCCTTCTCTTCTGGCCTTAAAACAACCCCCCAAACCTTGCCAAGCTAGTCATCAGAAGCAAGCTCTCCACGGACCAGGATGCACCAACTAAAAGTGGCACCAGACCCTGTCAGAAAACAGATACAAAACCTGCAGACATATCTCCACTGCTACAATGATAAATGCCCCCCCTACACAACACCTTTCAAGATTCATGGGTCCTACACATACTTATCACATGTGGTGTACCTCATCCAGTGCATCAGATACCCCAATAAAAATTATGTGAGTGAAACCAGACAATCACTATGCTCTCAAATAAGCTCTCACAGAAAATAAGACACAAAACCATCATATCAGCTATGGATGAACACTTTTCACAAAATGATCACCACATATCTGATCTTTCAATACTTGTCCCAGAGGAAACTTCCATAAGCACTTCAAAAGATGAACCTGGGAACTTAAATTCATAATGCTGCTAGACACCAGAAACCATGGACTTAAGAGACGCTGGTTTCATAGCTCATTACAACAATCTGACATACATCTGCCAGCTGACTCTTAATGTGGTCTTTTATGTAAACCTCTTTTACATAACAATCTAACGCTTATTACGCAGGCCAGCTCAAGCAACCTCCTACAGCATCTTACCCTTTATGCTTAACATCTGTCGCGACTTGTATTTAGCATAGACACTCATATTTCTTTCCCCAGACCTAGGGCATGTCTACACTACAAACTTTTGTTAACTCAAGTTAGGTTGACATAATCTGCCACAGATAGTATATTGCTTGTGTACGTGCATGCGTACTTGGCTCCTTACGTTGGTGCTGTGCCTACTCCACATGAGTGCTTGTTTCAATGCACAGAGTGGTGCACGATGGGTAGGTATCCCAGTGTGCTACTCGCCACCATCCAGCGCACTGTCTTTTGGGAAGTTTTGGCAATGCATAGTGGGGCAGAAACGAGCTTCACTGGGATGACTGGAATTGTGAGATAAAGTTCCCATCGTGCAGCTTTTTCCACCTCCAACTGCCATCTTTATTCCATAGTTTTCCACACCTATTTTTAAAATCCCACAAACCCACATGGGGCTTGTCACTGTCCACCATCTCTGACAAAAGTGTGGAACCTGTACAACTCTGCTCTATTGTCATGAGCGTTGCAAGCACAGGATGCGTGACTCTCCAGTATTTGCAGAGCTGCAGAAAGAGCTGTGGAGAACATGACGGTTTCCTGGAGGGCAAATTGCTGTAGGACATAGCGAGAACCAATTCAACATTGTTGGCATAGATGCTGGAACTATGAGGTATCCTGGGGGTGCTGCCACATCCCCTGGCTTGAAGTGCTTTCCATTATGTACAGGGTTTACAGTTTGGTTCGCTGGCTCTCAGAACCCGCACTATACAAATTGTCCCAGCATTCCTGATTGGTGGTGGTGGTCAAAGAGTGGTTGCAAATGGTGGAGTGCTGCTTTTTGGGCATGAGAAATGAGCACTGACTGGTGAGATCACACTGTAATGTCACTGAGATGACAAGAAGTGTCTGCAGAACTTTTGGATGTGCAAGGCCACATTCCTAGAACTGTGCACTGAGCTTGCCTGAGCCTTCCAGAATCTGGACACCAGAGTGAGAGCTTCACTGACAGAGGAGAAGTATCAATCACACTGTGGAAATTTGCAATGATAGATTGCTACTGGTCAGTGGGAAATCATTTTGGAGTTGGAAAAATCCAGTGTGCAGGCCATTGTCATGCAAATGTGCGGGGCCATTAATCATCTCCTGCTACACAGGACTGTGACTCTGTGCAGCTTGCAGGATATAATGGATGGATTTGCAGTGATCGGATTCGTGAACTGCAGTGAAGTGATAGACAGCACACACATCCCTATTTTGGCACCAGACCACCTTGCTCCAGAGTACATCAGCAGAAAGGACTATTTTTCTATGGTTATGCAAGTGCCAGTGGATCGCTGGGGATACTTCACTGACATCAGTGTTGGCTGGTCAGGGAAGGTGCCTGACACCAACATCGTTAAGAACACAGGACTGTTCAAAAAGCTGAAAGCAGGGACTTGCTTTCCTGACTGGTGGATTTACCATTGGCAATGCCAGTAGTGATCCTGGGAGACCCAGCCTACCCTTACTCTACGGCTCATGAAACTGTACAGTGGTGACCTCAACAGCACCAAGGAACGATTCAACTCTACTGGTTCAGCAGGTGCAGAGTGGGAGTTGAATGTGCTTTTAGTCGTTTGAAGGGGTGATGACGTTGACTCACAAGACTGGATCTCAGTGAGAAAAATATCCCAGTGATTATAGCTGTCTGCAGTGTCCTGCATAATATCTGTGAAGCAAAAGGAGAAAAGATGCCTCTGGGTGGAGGGTAAAGTTGGAACATCTGTCTGCTGAGTTTCAACAGCCAGATACAAGGGTTATCAGAAGACCTCACCAAGGACCTGTATGGTTCAGGAAGGCTTTGAAAGAGCATTTTAACAGTGAGCCATAGTGTTGTGGTGTGCTATGCTCTACCTGGCCCTGCAGTGTGGGTGTCTATTAGGAATTGTGTGGTGCTTGGTGCAAATTTATGAATAGAACACTGACAGTGTATCTATTAATTTTGTGGTGCTTGCTATATGATGATGACACTATTTGTAAAAGATCCTATGAGTTGTCAGTGTTCAATAACTAAGTGGGTGCTTTCAGTACCGCCAGGCATTCAGCAGCATATGTTGGGAACTAATAAAGATGAATTATTTTCCAAACAATATTTTATTGAGTAATGAAAACACTTCAAAAATTCTGTACAAGTTAAAAACAAACGTTAACTTAATAAATTCCTGGATCAGAGCTTAAAGGGGGTGTGACGTTAATGTTCACTTACGTCTTCCAACATATGTTACCTTTATTTTGTTAGCCTAAGTGTTATCTGTACTCATTCACTGTACATAGCTATAGTTTTAATGATTTATAATTATCAAAGTGCTAAATCTCACTATTTATAATTACTCATTTTATATTTCAATGTTATAAGTCAGTATACGAGGAAGAGTTATGGGAAACATGATTCTTTAATGTCAACATTTCCTACCGTCTTTAAACATGAGTTTTTTTCACCCAAAGTCCAGTTTTATTTGTGAGTCATTACAAAGCAACTTTGTTAGAAATTTTCCTGTGAATGCATTTTGAGTGGTGGCTCGATTTTTATGGTCTTGGTAGTTGCTTTTAATGATACCTTAACAATGTCCACTGAAGATAGGACAAGAAGTAATGGGCTTAATCTGCAGCAAAGGAGATTTAAATGAGATATTAGGGAAAGCTTTCTAACTATAAGGGTAGTTAAGCATTGGAATAGAGTTCCAGGGGAGCTTGTGAAATCCCCATAATTGGAGGTTTTTCAGAGGAGGTTGGAGAAACACTTGCCGGGGATGGTATAGGTTTACTTGGTCCTGCTTCTGCGCAAGGGGTTAGACTTGATGACCTTTCGAGAGCCCTTCCAGCCCTACATATCTACAGTTTCGCCTATATTAGAATCATAAGGTGTATCTGGTTTTATATATTTAATGAGAGCAGCCATTTTGGGGGGGGGGGTACAGTATTTGCCTGCAAATAAAGTGCTTTAAAGTGCACTATTTCTACTTCATGCTTTAGTGTATGCCTCACAAACCTCAGTTCTTTCAGTTTTTCTTCCTCATGAGTGATTCTACAGTCTCCCAAATTAAAAGGAATTTGTTGTTGTTTTATGAGCTCATCTCAACAGGGGAGAGAGACTTATCCTGGAAGAAGCTGGAAAACACTGATATTAGTTCACAATCAATGCAAAAAATAGTTGCTCAGGGTTGTAACCCTCTAAAATGCTTGTTTGAACAAAAGATACCTTTAAAGCTGCTAAATCAAATTATTATGGTTGCCTGAGAATTCAAATACTAAATACTTTTATAGATGTTTTCATAATCTATTATAAGAAAAATGTTGTAACAAATTCTTCAGAAATGAAATAAATTATCTTAACCTGTTGGTCTGATCTTTCAGTTTACAAGTGTAACTACCTGGCATTGAAGAGAACCCACTCTTGTTAACTTTCTCTCTCTTTATCATATAATTTCTAAATTTCTTACATTTTAAACTTGACTTTTATTGATGTGACTAGCATTTCAGGAATTAAGACTTTCACAAGTGTGTTAAATCTTCCAATAAGAAATTTTTGTTTGTTTTGGTTGCTTGTTAAAGTTCTTGCGGAGTAATAATCAGCCATTTCCCATTTGTAGGTTTACCCTGGCTATTCACCTTTAATGTGAAGTTTTATCCTCCTGATCCTTCACAGTTGACTGAAGACATTACCAGGTATGCATATTTTAATATAAAACTTGATAATCAGTGTTTTTTTTATATTGTACACTCTGCAAGTCAACAACTTACTTGCTTCCTGTGTTTTGAATTCACATTGCAGATTTTCTCTCTCTCCCCACTCCTTCCCCTCCTCCCTCATAGAATAAGGGAACAGAGAGGCCCTAGGTGTGGGAGGAAACTTATCCTGGGCACAAACTTCAGGATGGCCTGGAAGTTTAAATATTCTGTCTGCTGCTACAGCACAGTTTGACTATACTGTGCAATGCTGCTGCTTTTTGTAGCCAGTAGGAAGTGAGTAGGAGTTGGAGACTTCGCATGATGACATCACGCAGCTTTTTTGCCCCCAGTTCACAGGATGAGCAGTCCTGAGCTGGGGTGAGACCTGGGACTCAGTGGATCTGATAAGGCCTCCAGGGGACCTCCCAAATGAGGGAGGAGGAAGCTAATTGAAATGGGGGGAGGGGCTAATGAAGGGGTCCAGAAGGAAGAGGGAGAAAGTAAAAATTATAGCAAGAGACCAGAGGATGAGGATAGAAATGGGATAGAGTGGAGCAGCATGGTAGCAGGGAGGAGACCAGAAAAGGGAATGAACCTCTTAAGGGTCAGAGGCGTGGAGCCGTGGATGTTGAGGGGCTGTCACTATATTCGGATGTAAGCAGTAGGGTAACTTGTGTTGATATGAGAACAGAGAAAAGTAGAAAGAGTTTAAAGAAAATGGGAAATATTTTTTTCCTTAAGAGTTGTCTTGGTTTACTGTTGCAGCATTAAACAGTTAATTGTGGTTTGTAACTTGCTGAAGTGTTTTGAGGGGGATACAGAAATAGTCCAGATAATTTATTTTTAGTTGTCAAACATTTATCAAATAGAATTTATTAAATACAGTGTATAGCAAACACAGACTGTATGACAATGGTATATAAAGGATTTATTGGTACTTGTTTAAAATTATTTTCATAATTCACCACTTAGTAGCTTCCCCATTTGTGAGAAAAATGACCACTCCAAACATAAGATATACAAAATAAACTACATATACAGTCTATAATTGTCTCTCATTCCACAGGTAGTAGTATAGCTAATTGTATTCGTGTTCAATTAATCTAAAACAAGCTTTAGGTGTCCATGCTGGCTATAAAACAATTTTCTGAAAATTAAGTTGGGCTTTTAGATTGTGTTCAATTAATGTAAATAGTTTTATCCTTGATTATCTTTGAAATTTTCTAAATCCCCAATACTTTGAGCTTCACTATGAATTCAAAATAAACTAGTAAAAAATAAAATTTACTTTTTGTTTAGTATGTCATGTAAGATTACTTTGTGTGTGCATGGCATAAGGCTTTATGGACAAGAGTTGCAAGGTACAAGATAAATGTAATTACTCACATGGATACGACCTGTGTGAGGGATGCAAGTGTTCACTGCTTATTGATATAGTATGCATTCCTGTGTTGTATGGTATGACTGGTTGGATTACATGCTGCAAAAAAAATTAGATATATTACTGAAGTTTTAAAATCAAACCCTAGATTTCAATGAAAAATATATCATCCATTTTTAAATGGATTGTACCTAGGGTGACCAGGGTGAAAAATTGGCACGAGGGTAGGAGGTGATAGAAGACTATATGAGAGAGAGACCCAAAAATCGGGAGTGTCCCTATAAAATCGGACATCTGGTCACCCTAATTGTACCAAGCCTGAAAATGAACATGACACAGTTGGTAAGCAAGTTTTATTATGTAAAGGTAGACCCATACTGCTCATTTGTACTGGGACCCAGAATATTTCTAACCGATTTATGAAAGATATATTGATTCTTATACTAAAACTGTAACTCCAAATCCTTTGTTTTTAGTTGACAAAATCAATCAGAAATGGAACTTTGTCTCTGTGTAATGGTTCGATCAGTGCTTTCGGTTTTTTAAAGCAGACTATTGGAACTACTTGTTTGGACAGATTTTACTCAGCTTTGTGCATGTGTGCTCTCACAAATTTCCTGCAGGAATATTTCTGTTTACCATAAGTAACTTTTTTTTCCTTTTTGCAGATATTTCCTATGCCTACAGCTTCGTCAGGATATTGCTTCTGGCCGACTGCCATGTTCTTTTGTGACTCATGCCCTCCTTGGTTCATATACTCTGCAGGCCGAGCTAGGAGACTATGATTCAGAGGAGCACCATAACCATTACATCAGCGAATTCCAATTTGCACCCAATCAAACAAAAGAGATGGAGGAGAAAGTAGTAGAACTGCACAAAACACACAGGTGTGTCAGACCTGGTGGGAATAAAGTATGTTGATATGGTCTTGGTTACATCTGTCATTTCTCTTGATCTTAAAAATATGTATAAAATTGTGTTAGAATGAAGAAGTTTAGCACTACTATGAAAGTCTTACACGACTTACATAGCTACAACATTCTTTTATATGCATTTAAATGGAACTTGTCTTTAGTTTGACTTTCTTTTCATCATTTTTTTTCTTCTGTTTATTAAAGCCCTTTAGTAGGCTTTCCATCAAAAAAGTCAATTATGGATGGCTTCTTGCTTTAGCCAGTAAAAATAGCAATAAACATTTCAGCTGGGAAAGTTTTGAAGCTATATTTCATGATACGGGCTTTTTTACTTGCTTTTTAAGAACGATTGTCTGAATTTATTTCATTCAGAGATGTTTTGAATAATATGAAGAAAACATTCAGAATCTGAAATTCTTCATTTAAATTATTCAGTCTCTAAACTAGCTACCTTTGGATTATTAAAAATATATTTGTAATCTGATTACGAGGAGCCATTTTATGACACATGAAGATAGAATTAAAGTCCCAAAGTCTCATTACATTAAAAATATAAGTACATTGGCAATTGCTTTCAGTCAACAAAATAGATCATACATTTCTTTGCATTGCCCAAAGGCCAGAGCCCAGTGCCCTGAACTATACACTTTATGTAGTGTTGTTTTTTACCTTGAATAAACCATGGTCACTGTTTTAGTTTTGTTGATAATAGGAAAAATTATTCTTGTTCCCCTCATACTGATGGAAGGACGGTCGTCTTTTGTTAGCTAAATGCTATGAATGTAAATTTTAAGCTCCTTGGGGCAGGAACTGTCTTTTTGTTCTGTTTGTACAGCATCTAGCACAATGGGGTCCTGGTCCATGACTAGGCATTACCACAATACAAATAATAATAATAATAATGAATGAAGTCCTGAGCTATATTGGGAGCAAAACCCCCACTGTCTTCAATGGGGCCACTATTTGGGCATATATTGCTCTCTAGATACTGTATAGTTATGTGTGCAAAGTGTGCAGTCTAAGTCAGAAAAGGTTAACCTTTCTATGTTGAACATTTGAGAAAATAAATGTACCTTATTTACTGACCTTGGCATTTTAAAGGATACCAGTGAAATTCTGAAATTCACACCTCAGCAAGGTGTGGGGGAGGATAGATTCCTACCTCTGGTGGTGGTACCAGGGAGGGCTCTAACTTTTTTGCCGCCCCAGGCAAAAAAGAAGAGCGCCGCCCTGCCATAACACACCCCCCCCCCAGAGCTGTGCTGCCCAAACCCCCGTCCCCCGAGCACCTCGCCAGGCAGCCTAAACCCCCACCTCCCCCTCCCCCCCAGCGCCTCGCCAGGCCACCCAAACCCCGAGCGCCTTGCCGGGCCACCCAAACCCCCGTCCCCCTCCCCCCAAGTGCCTCACCGAGCTGCCCAAACCCCCGCCCCCCGAG